TGTCTTAAAAAAACAGACGTCCAATTCTCTACCTACCACAAAAAAATGAGTTTAAGATTTCCTACAGAGAGTAGTCTGCCATCATTCCATTGGACCAGATAATGGAGCTATGACATGAATGATTAAAACAATGAGCCAGTCAGTAATGGCAAGATTAGCTTTTGTATTTGAAATGCCATTCATTGCACTTTATGGTCAGCTAAAGCAAATGACAGTTTAAAAATTCAGTATATTTTGCTAAAGAAGGGAATGAAGATGATAGCAGTAATGGCTCAAATTGTGTCCTGTATATTTCAGGAAGTCGTACATTGGGAGGAGTGAGTTGAACGGAATGCACAGAGAAATGATCATCAAGGAGGACATCTTCCAGCCCCGAGGGATTGCTGTTCACCCACTAGCTAAGTAAGAAGTAATAGATACTATTGATCTAAGAGTAGGTGGTGAGGAAAGTAAATATTAAAGCTTTTTCCCCCCTTCTCTAATTAGGAGGCCAGTGTTCAGGTCCTGCCTTTGTCCCACATAAACTGAGTTTGTTGATCTAATCCTAAATACTTGTCCACTTCCCACTGTTGGAAGTGGACTGCCCAGTGAAACAGTAATTGGGGGTGCTGAGAGTGAAGATTGATGGAGTTGAGTGGGAGAAGTTTGCAGAGCACCTGCCATCACTTGGCTCTACCCAGTTCTATCAGTTCATCATTGTCAATCAGCACCCAATTCACCTTGGAATAGGAAGAAAACAGTAGATGACTTCTTTTTTCTTCAAGGAACTATAACTTTTATTGTAAAGAGACACACATTTGCCTTTGGGACACAGTGGGACCACACATGCCAGCTCTCTGGTTTTGTGTGGGTGGGCAGCTGTAGCAGTGGGAATCTAGAAGCAGTTTTTAAAAATACTTATGGCTTCTTTTTCACTGCTGGGCTATTGTTAGTTGAGTAATTACAGGAATTATTTTATTACTATGTGTTTTGTACAATTAGCACCTGGCACCGGGGATAAATTGTATATAAATAAAACTAAGCAAATACATATATATAGTTAAAGTCACCCTCACTGGTAAATGTTGTTAGTTAAAAAGGATTGTATAATTTGCAGGACAACATATGCTGAGCCTTGAAAGGAATTTTATTGCAGTTATCATACTCACTTTTAAGTAACGTTGCTGTCTTTGAAGTCAGATCCACAATAATCTACTGGATGTGAAGGTGCACGATTATAAACATGTATCTGCACTTATATCTTAACTACATATCTGCTGGTGCATACATAGTATGTTGATAGGGACATTAGAACCACCAAGTGATAGATTAAGGTTATTGGCGAAATCCTGGCCTCATTGAAGTTAATGGCAAAACTCCCATGGACTTCATATGGGCCAGGATTTCACCCTGTCTGTAACAGGATGGTTTCTAAAACCTGAATTAGTGATGCAGGTTTTTTCTGAGTCATTTTGATGTCAGGTCTGTTTATCCTGCAGGAAAGTGCACTATAATTACCGCTAAGTGAAAAGAGTAGGTGGACCTTGTTAACTCCATCAAGGAAATAAAAGATTTTGGAATATTTGAAAGTTAAGATGGAACAAGGGTATGGAACACAGAAGGTCTCTAGGGAAAACACTTAGGAACACCTGAGTTTGGCAAGCTAGTCATAGGTTATCAATGGCAATAAAGCAAAATCTCAAGTTGAAAGTAAGATTGACCTATGTATAGTGTGTCACAGGATGTCGGAGTTTTATGGTCTTGTTCCAGAAAAAGCAGGCAGAAGTCCAGGCGAGTTTTGATTACTGTTGACAAGATTATTTTTGAAACAGTAACTGATGAATCACTGTTCAAAGTTGAAGTAAAAGATGTATTGGGGAGGGGCAGGTATGGTGGGGTCTGGAATTAGAGCCTAGTGAAAGTTTCCCTGTTGAGAAGTTAAAGGCTAAAGAAACAACAAAGAACTATGGTAGTTTCCATGATGGTAATGGTCAGTATTAAATTCAAAGTCAAACAAGAGTATCAAGAACATTGTGGGACAGATGATACTCTCCATTAGCAGTCCTTTGATGTCAGAAGAACTGCTTGTAGGATTTGGGGCCTATATGAGTACATTTAACAAAGGCAGATAACTTGGCCAAATTCATCCTTGATGTAACTCCACTGAAGTCACTGGGATTACACCAGGGAAAATCTGAGGCCCGAAAATGATTAGTGATTCTGCATGCCTTAATTTTTAAGTGCCCAACTTGAGTCACTTTAAAGGGGTCTGATTTTCAGAAAATGTTGAGCCCTCAACCTCTGAAAATCAGGCTTCTTTATATCTTCTCGGTTGGGCACCCATAAATTGAGCATCAAGAATCTTTAGTTAGTTTGAAAAATTTGGCCCAGGGCTCATTATTGGTTTCTTTTAATATATAAAACAAAATAGAAGAAAATAATTTCCTTGCTGACTTGCTTACTGAGATGTGCATTCAGGATTCCATGTGTGCCCTGTAACAGCTGTTCCTATCACAGTGCCTAAAGCAGCAATCCCTCCATTGCTGTAGGGTGTTTTATCATCTGTTACAAGGGAAACGCAGAACCCTAAACTCGGTAAGAAGCAGATCAAGGTAATGGTTTTTCAAAGATTTTATTTTAAACTGCAAAAACAGAATTATGTTCACAACCACACATATATTTAATGTAATGATCTGGGATCTTAAAACAATTTTTAAAAGATCAGTATTCTAAGTATTTGTTTGCAGGATAGGTGCCTTATGTATTGTCTGCCATGTGCCTGACTTGCTACAGTCAGTCTGTCATGAAAGAATTCCTCAAAACAAGATAAATGTGAAGGGAAAACATATTTGCTTACTGACTCCTTTGTGTTTTGCTCACTAAAGGAGATTATTCTGGACTGACTTGGGGGTCAACCCACGGATCGAAAGTGCTTCCCTACAAGGCATTGATCGTCTGGTTATAGCTAGCACTGACCTGGTTTGGCCCAGTGGAATTACTGTCGACTGCTTAGCTGACAAGTTGTACTGGTGTGATGCTAAAAAGTCTGTTATTGAAACCGCAAATCTGGATGGTTCTAAACGCCGAATACTTACACAGAATGATGTAGGTGAGGTTTTGGGGTTGATGATTACTTGTTATGTATATGTCTCTGTGTGTATGTTAATCTGAACTATGGGCCAGATTCTTCACTGATTTACATTCTGTGTAGCTCAGTTGAGGTTAATGGGATTGTAGTAGGTAAATCAATGCAGAATTTAGTATATTCAGCAACACCTGTACCAGAGATAACCCTTATTAATCACCCTCTAGTTGTAAGAGACCACCCCAAATCTATTGCATAGAGTTCTGTGCTGCCTTCCCTAGAAAATCTATCCCATTAAGAAAATGATACGTTGGTTCCTTGAGTCATTGCTTCACTGCATACATACATCAATGGAATTACACCTATGTAAGTGAGAGGAGAAAACAGGCCTTTAGATTTTAAGCTCTTTGTACCAAGGACTATGTCTATACAGTCTTCAACTTGCAGATGTCTCTAAATACATAATACATGCACTGCAGGCAATGGAAAGATAATCTTTGCAAGATGCTGGTGGCTATTACTGCTCAGCCTTGCTGTGATTTGAGACAAGAGAGGATCACCTTGTAAGCTAGAACAGAAGCCTCAGCAGAGGATAACTGATAGTCTAACACATTTAGAATAAACCACATTTTAGTGTTTGTTTGTGTGCGTATATAGAGCAGTGATTGCCCTTGGACGCTGTCACATTGTTGACAACATATATTTTGTAACTGTGTAGTTAGTCTACAGCAGTGTTGCCCAAAAGGCAGGTCATGGATCAATAGAGGACTGCCGTCTGGGTTCAAATAGACCTCCATGTATAATGACCACACTATCACAGTATTGTGGTAGTGTTGTTCTGCCAGAGACCACATTAGGCAGCCATCTCATAGTACTTGGCTGCTTTTTTCCCCTGGTGTGGCTTGTGTTGCCTCTTCTATGCCAGATTCCCCATTACTGGTTTGCAGGGCTGCCTGCAAAGGGGGGAGGACTCTCCAGTCCCTTGGGTACCAATAGGGCTGAAGGGAGTGCCCTTCTGGCATTCCTTTCCCCTCCCTGCCCAGTGCTACTCTGGCCTGTCATTCCTCTTTGTCCCCTCTGTGATAGATTTGACAATGAAAAGTACAAACTGTGGTAAACTCCACTTTGCATCTGAGTCAGGCAGGCTGAGCTGCAAAGAAAACATGACAACCTGTTGTAAGTTTCACTTTGTTCTCCAGTGGCTGTCAAAGGGGTAGCATCTCTCGGGGAGGGAAGCAAAAGAGAGGACGAGAGAAAGGAACATCAGAGGAGAGTGGAGGAAAAGAGATGGATCTGAGACTATGGTGTGTGTATTGGGAGACAGAGAGGTGACATCAGACATAAGAGTGTGTTTAGGTTGGTGAGCATCAGACCTATGCATCGGAAGGGGAAAAGAGATACAGAGTGACATCCTGGTCCTGTTGAAGTCAATGGGAATTTTGCCCTTGACTTCAGTAGAGCAAGTGTTTCACTCTTGGTGTTTTATGGCTTAAAAATGGGACCAGGGGAGGGTTGTCTAAAAATTTATTTTTTCTCTCTTTCTCCCTCCCTCTCTCTCTGTCTGGTTTATATAGGGTTTTTGTTTGTTTTTTAATTGTCTCTGTCTTAACATGTGTGGTCTCAGATAGTTTGTGTGAAGTATTGTATGTATATAATTGTATATTATTTTTAAATGACATACTTTGATAAACACTCAGCTGGACCCATGAACATTTTAAGATTAATACATTGCACTCTGGACAAATATAACTTCAAATCTTCCCAATGGTATCTAAATACTTATACATACTTTGGGTAAGTATGCATTCTTATTGCACGGGTGCCATCTAGTGTCGCTGTAGTTACAGCTCATATGTGAATAATGAGTAGAATGTACCGGCATCCGGTGACAGCTGCGTGCAAGGCAGATTAGGTTTTCCTAGATTTGTTCCATCATTCTGACTGTTTTGTAGTGTGAGTAAAAACAAAGATGTAAACACCTGTTCTAGGGGACCAACGGTAAAGGCCTTTATTTGTTTATACAGTCCCTATTGTGTTTGGAGATGCATAGTAATGGTACATACTTTTACATGATTATTGTAGGATGGATCCTTTTTTCTTATTTTTAATGGATCATTTTCCACTTTATTTTTGATTTTTAAGTTGTGGTTAAGTATAAGTGAAACTGTGAAGGCTAAATTACTGATGTCCACAGTGGAATGGGAGGATTGTGGTCTCAACCAGGGTGCAGGTTATGTGTAATAAAATAATGATTCAATATTTGGATGAAGACATTATGCAGGATGTTGGCTAGTTACTCAAACTTAAACGTCATGAATTGAAGTAAGAAGAGAATCAAGCCAAGGGAGTAGGACTTGAGGATATATGCTCATGGGATAGAAAAGGATTCCTAAATCCCGTACGTTTAAGAAAAAGTAAACAGCCTTGTCCACGTAGGAACATTTCTTCGATATAAATTGAAGTGTGAATTGAAACCAATATGGTTATACCGGTAAAACCCCCTGTTTAGACATACTAATTCTGGTATAAAAGTGGCTTTTTTTTAGTTTAGCTAATGTCACTTGGGAAGGGGGTGAAGCTAAACTGAAAGAAAGACACATTTATCCTGGAATAAGTATCCAAATGTGGGTGGTATAACTGATGATATTTTTCTCATATAGACAGGGTTTTTCCAGTTGGGCAAAGGCTTAAGTGTAAATTGCGTTCCTACAGGAAATACCTGTCACTCAACAGGAATAACTGATGCTACAGGCTGATAAAACGGGGCAAATATCCAAACTCTGGCAAGAGTTTAGAGTTCTCTCCAAAAGCAGCTAAAAATATATGCAGGTCCAGTATATGCGATCTGTCTGTGGGTGCATTGTGGAGAGGATAACTTGTCTAAATGTATAGGGCCATAGAAACCTAACAGTAATCGCTAACTCTGACACTGATACTCAAATAGCTGGAATTAGACAGCTTAGATTTCTTTTAAAATCTATACAACAGTACTTGGCAACCTTAACTCTGAATTGCCATGCTTGTCTTTTGTAGTCATCCCTTTATTCCAATATGAAAATTTAAGCATATGTTCAGTTACCATTAGAGCCCTGCATGGATACAAAATGTATATCTGCAGATATAAATTGGTATCTGCAAAGCTGCAGGGCTCTGCTGGGAACTGCAACAATGAAAGCAGTAGCCTGTTGTGCTGCCGCTCGTGGGAGCCAGTGCCTTGTGCCGGCAGCTCTTCTGGTGTGGCTGTACTGCCCCCAGCTCTGCCCCCAACCCCGCCCACCGGGGCAGGCACCAGGCTCACCTGCAGCTGTCTCTGGTCGTGCTAGTGCATTGAGCGGGGCTGGGGGCGATACAGATATCCCAGAGGAGCTGTAGTGCGGGGCACTGGCTCCTGGGAGTGGTGGCCCGACAGGCTGCTGCTTTTGCTGCTGCAGTTCCCAGTAGAGCCCTGCAGCTCCGCGAATAATGATTTATATCTGCAGATATCCGCATTTTCAAATATAAATTTTGTATCCATGCAGGGCTTTAGTTACCATGGGAAAAACTGCTACTCTGTGCACTATTTTGAAAATGTAAGGGTTAATTCTAAGCCACGTAGGTGAATGGTGTAGTATACTGGCTTGTGCATGTACACACACGTGCACAGCACTGTCCCTTATAGGATGGAATCAAAATTGAATCAGCTGTATCACAACTTTGCATTGGTAACAGCTAAAAGAGAATCTTGAGAGGCCAAGGGCCTATGCTTTTGGAGTAGGAAGAGCAGGGTGCCACTGCTCATGAACACAGTGACAACCATTCATGGGCCCTGATTTGTTCCATCATAGATACCCATACTTGCACTTTTATGTATCTCTACAGTATTGCTGTGTTTCTAGAAAGACGGGTGTGGATACTTATTTTGGTTATGTGCTGACTTGTGTAACTTGAACATGAACTGGAATTGAAGAGTATAATTGCTTTCTAGGCCATCCATTTGATGTAGCAGTATTTGAGGATCACATTTGGTTCTCTGACTGGGCTAAGCCTTCATTAACAAGGGTGGACAAGAAGACCGGCCAAAACAGGGTACGTCTCCGAGGCAGCATGCTGAGACCCTCATCAGTGATTGTAGTTCATCCTTTGGCGAAACCAGGTATACTGCAAAAGTTAAGCAGTCATTCCCTTATGGGCTCCTTTTTATGTTCACTGCTATTGGTAAATAGACATTTAGAGGAGGGAATGTTCATCTCTGAAACAGAATTTTCAAAAGGCTCCACGTGCACAGTCAGACTGGCTTTCATTAGAATCATGAGAAAACTGTTGCTGTTGTATCCTACCTCTGAAACTCATGGGCATTAGTGGGTTTGTTCTCAGCTGGGTGTGTAGACTTTGGACATGCAGCTCCCCCATTAATGCTAACAGATCTTGCGTCTCTAAAGCCATGTGCTTCAAGCTAAGAATATGATACTTTCTATAGCACTAACCTGACCAATTGCCTTGAGACCACACTCTTGATATCCATCTATCGTCTTTGTGTAGCATCCTTCTCCTTATACAAATAATAGTGATTAGTAACACCAAAAAGGCATCTGTGGAATCTCAAAGATTCTTTGGTTTGAGGGCCAAACCACTTGATTTTTCTGCAAGGGACAAACTCCATCCCATGGGAAGAGCTTGCAGGCAACTTCATATTGCATCTACCTTACTAAAGTGAGTTGTCCTATTGATTTCAATAAGACTACTTGTGTAAACAAGGCAGTCACAGTTTGACCCAGTGTTTACTATCCCCTGCACAGAAGTAAGCCTTATAGAGGACATTAGGGCTCCAGGTGTTCAATAATAAAAAGCATGTATAATATCTGTAAGTATATCTGTGTATGATGGAAAGCATGCAGTTCTGCTTTACTGTCCCACAGTAACACATAGACTTTATTGTACATGTCCCATTTTAACAAAAAAAGTGCAGTCTCTTCTCTGTCAGTTTTTAATTTCTTAACTGCTTCATACCAGATAAGATAAGATAATTAATAGTTGAGGATTCTCAGAATGTATGGCTGCATCCTGCTAAGGTGCACATATGTCTCTCCACTAGGGGCAGATCCCTGCCTTCATGAGAATGGAGGCTGTGATCAGATCTGTGAAGACAGATTTGGAGTTGCCCATTGCTCATGTCACAAAGGCTTTATGAAAACCCAAAATGGAAAAACCTGTCAGGCTCTGAATATTCCTGAGACACCAGCAGGTATCATATTCTTTTAGTCATGAAAAAAAACTTGTCTTCAAAGGATACTGTCAAATAATAATGTAATGTATTTTTCTTACTCTTCACAATTTGTGATAGCCTTGTAGACATTTGAAAACAGCATTTATTTCCCTTTGATAGGTATTTTCTTACTGTGTCACTCCCCTGCCTTTCTTCTCTCTCTCTCCTTCCCCTCTGGGTTTTGAATGGAAGTCAAATCAGCATCTCTCTGCCACTCACCTGCTGTATGAATGTAGATGTAATTTAACCTCTGTGCCTCCATTTCCCCATCTGTAATATATGGATAATAATAGTTGCCCACCTTTGTACAGTACACTGAGATCCACCAACAGAGAGCTCTAGAAAAGTGTTACTTAAATGGTGTCTGCACTACAGATTCTCACTGAATTTGTAACCCGTTTGATTCTGCAAATAGTTCATGTCTGCATGCAAAATGATTTACACACAATTCCTAACCATGTAGATGTGCTGTGTTTTGACTTCATATGTGAGCAGGACTATTACATGATTGTCAGGCTCTAACTTGGTTCTGCAGGGCAAAATTTCCCAAAGTACCTTGACAACTTACCAAAGTGCATTGCACCAGGTGGAAAAACACCAACTGTGCTCTGCCCCTGGCATCAACAGCTGAGGCATTTGGGAAAACTGCTTATATTTTCCAGGAGTGCATTCATACACACTGGTCATGCATTGTGCTAAGTGTGGACAAGCCAATATGGTTGGCACACAGTTGAGCTGGAAAAAATGCTGCTGTGTGGTTGCACTGAATCATGTTGGCTGTGTCTGTGTCAGAGCCTGGATGTGTGCAACATGTTTCTATTAAGGGTAGGAAGGACCTGTATTTAACAACATATTTCAACATAAGGGGCTAGAATTCACAACAATTGTCTCTGAAAATTAAGGCCTTTCCTCAGTGAACTTAAAGAAGCCGCTCCACTAACTCAGCTGCTAAAAACTTATGCAAATCTGACATGATCTATCCTGTAGGGGGGGCAACGATTCACATTCATTCGAGTGATTATATTACAGGGGAGAGTGGTGTAGCTAAGCATCTGACAAAGTGCTAGTCAATATACTGTAGGCTACAATTCTTTACTGTCCCCCTCAGGATGGATCAAAGGTTCTTCGCACCTTTAATTTTTATGATTCTGTGTTCTGATATGGTACCCCCAGACTGAAAAAAAGCATCAACTCTCTTCCCTCTTCTCTCATTCCCTATAACATACTGGCTTATACAGTCAGGCTCACCTGAACATGCCAGTATCTTGTGAAGGTGAATTGCTGTGCCTTTAAGGTGAATTGCTGTACCGTCCTTAGGAATTTTAAAAAGTTTTAAAAAATCATACTCTTCTACACCTCAGTGGATGACCACTGGGGCAGTAACATATGAATCTGTCCTCTATGGTATTAGACCTTGACACACAGACCTTGAGGTACGTACATCCAATGTTTTCAAGTGCAATCTGGGAATTAATTTAATTCCTTCCCATTGCATTTGAGAGAGCCAACCACCGATTGGATTTTAGGCCTGGGGGAGCAGGCCAGAATGAGAACAATCTGACTTTTGTTTTAAACAGAAAGCCACAGATTCTGTGACTTGTGAATTACTGATTTATGTATGACTAAAAATCAGAACTTTGAGTCAGTAGACTTCAACCATCTTTTCTACTTTCTTCAACATTTTCAGGGGGTATCTCTGTATACAAGAAGGCAGCACCACAGAATAAAACAGCAATACTGGAAACCTTATACCAAAGTCCACTGAATAGTGGGACATATGGGGATACTAACAATGGGGAGGAGCTACAGACTCAACACTTGCTGATGGCTGAAATCATGGTGTCTGGTAAGATCTACAATTTTGTAGTTCACGTGGGTCACGTCTGTTGTACTGAAAGTGAAATTCTGAGCTGGATACAAATTGGTTTATTCAACTGGGTCAGAGATGAGTGGTGGAGCTTAGAGGAAGGAGGGATCAATCTGTAAAAACCACCAGGGAGAAGAAACAAAAATCAAGGTTTAGGTATGGATGATGTGAAATTGGAAAGTCCAGTCAGAACCACCCAAAGGTGAGATCCAGAGGGGCCTGGATTAAATATGGACAGAAGGTTTTTGCTTAACAAGAAAACTGTAAATCACAAAGAACTGGATCAGAAAAACCAAAAAGGGATTAACGGCTTTTCTTGCCTAGACACTTTTATCTCAAGTTAATTGCTATGAACATTTGTACTTTAAAAATCTGTAGTTTATGAACTGCCACTGTGAAGGTCAAAGCCTTTCTTCTCATCAGGCACAGGGGGGAATTGAACTCACGTCTCCCATGTCCCGGGAGAGTGTTCTAGCCACTGGGCTAATGGTTATAAAAGAGGCCTGGTCTCCTGCCTGGAAAAATTCATTTTGGGTAAAAAAAAAAAACAAAAAAACAACCATGTTAGCTCAACTCAAAATGGATTTTTTTGATTCACCAAAATTTTACACAATTTTGGGATTCAGCCAAATCAGTTGTTCACCCAGCTTACACTGGGAAAATGAGTGGTTGGTTAGTTGTGTTTAAAATTGTGTTGGCTGGTCATTGTTAACCCTAGGGGGCCATGTTTTAAAACTTTAGCTGTCCATGCTTTTGTGTTAAAAATCCATTTGCTCCTTTGCCTAACTGAACTAGTCAGTGTGGTGGACTTTGATTTTGTTTGTGCTACAGATCGAGATGACTGTGCTGTGTTAGAATGCAATGTCAACGCCCAGTGTGTTCCCCTGGAAGATGGTGCTGTGTGTCAGTGTTTGAAAGGATTTACCAGGGAGGGTAAATCATGCTATGGTAAGGGCAAGAATTAAATCAAATGTTCCAGAAAACTATAGAATTGAAAAAGCCATCTGTCTTCTGTTGCATTGACATATCCACAGCATGAGCCATCCCAGGAAGGTTGATGAGACCGCTGTGCTTAGACACATCATTTCCATTGAAAAGGATAATGAACAGAGACCATGAAATGGAATGGTTAATTATTACATCCATTATTTCCCCTTGAATCATGAGTGTGAATCCTATTATTATTGACGAGTATGACAAATTCGCCGCAGGTTTAACTCTTCTGACTTTAGTTCTCTTAATTCATAAATATTATACCAGCGATGAATTGAGTCTGTTGTAGGAGGAGGGAGAGAAATGATGTGCTACAATGCCCTTAGCAATGGAGGATGCAGCAGAATACCGAAGAAGCTCTTCTCACAAATGGCTCCGTGACTCTCCTAGAACATTGTGAAAGAGATAGCTCAAGTGTGTAAGTGGCAGCGTTATCAGATGAGAAGAGAGTTCCCCTTGAACTAAGTGTGGAATGTGAAAGCAAATAGAACCCACTGAACATTCATGCTCATGTAGTAGCATTAGCGTTTATAGTTTCTGCAGGCTGCAACCACTAAATATGCGCACTTTAACAGGTGTAAAAGATTAGCAGGAGCGACAGCTTAAGACTATGTAATTAGAGATGAGGCCAATAAGAGTGGATATTGTAGAAGTTTATAAATAATTAACACTACAGAGAAGGTAAATGGGGCAGTCCTACTTGCCTTTTCACCTAATGCTAGAACAAGGAAGGACACATCCAATGAAATTGGAAGACAACAAAATTGATAAGAGGAAATACTTTGTTACCCAACACATAACTATCCTAGGGAACTCATTGCCACAGTATGTTGTTGAGGCCAAGGGCTTGGCGGTAATAAAAAACACTTTATGTATTTAAATAAAGAACATCCACACAACATCAGCAGGGTTAAAAAAATAATCATCAGACATAAATCCTCATGCTTCCCAACATAAGCCAACTACTGGGTTTGGGACGACACTTCTTCTCAAGGCATATCAGTTGTTCAGTATGATTTTGTTTGTACCTCCCTCTGAAGCACCTGGAACTGGCCATTGTTCCTGACAAAACAACTGTAGATTGTTCTCACTATTATTGCAATTCTGTGTTCCTATGATACGTCAGACATTCTATTCAGTAGAGAGCAGAGATAACAAATACAAATTATGGGGGCAATAGTAACACAAATATAATATATTTATTTATAAAATGCATCTAATTACAAAAAGCTCAAGGCACATAGATAGTATAGTTGATGTATAATTTAGAATTGTGGATTCTCTTAAGGTTTAATGAGTCTAATGCAATGTTTATATTGTATAATTATGTGAGTTCCTCTGTCTGTCTCTTTCTGGTATTAGAATGTGCTCTTGGGTACTCTTGTGATGAGACCAGCTATAGCACAGTGCTCTTAGCCCATATGTGCTCTTGCATAAACAATAAATAAAAACACTTTATCTTACCACAAAGGTAAAGACAAGGTAGACCTTAGAAATAAAGCACAGGCAATCATTTGACTGTAAAACACCAAGGACACTTGCAGCATTATTTAAATAATAATAATTGGGAGGGAGAATAGATATTACTTGTTTCATTGAGCTATTGTTTTCACTTTCTCTTAACCCTTGTTCCTCTTTTCAAAGTTTACATTCCACTTCATATCGTGCTTCTGGAGAGCAAGAAAGGAGGCAGTTTTGAGATTAGGTTATATACTCATGATTCAGGGAATTTGTCACTTAAATTAAATGGAAAGCCAGGCATTGCAGATCAGAGGGGAGGCCAAGTGTGGGGGAGAAAGAGAGAGAGAGTGAGTGTGTGTATGGTGCACCCTCATGGGACAGCCTTGAAGCTGAACATTGCAATTTCAAAGATAAATACATTATCGTGCCTGGTTCTACTTACAGTCCTTTTTTGGCACAAATATAAATTTACTCAGTCAAGTATGTTTTTAAAGAAATTTTGTGCCACAACTGAGATCAGCAGGGGGTGCTCAAGCTTGATGCCCCATGGTATAAAAGAGAGGTGCTGCTGGCAGAGCATTCTCCACCTTTCCTTTAGAATGCTCACCCACCGCCAGGCCAAAATAGCCTTGCACATACTCTGCAAAGCCCCATCTGTTTGAATGGGCTTTGGGGGACAGCTAATGTGTTTGAGGGTGCCTTGTGGGAATGTGTGGTGGTGGGATTTAAATCATACTGATCACATGACATGGGCATCCAGAGCTTTCGATCATGGTGCCCTTTTGGCTGAAGTTCTTTTTCTTTTAAATAATGATCAATCAATAAATAAGCTGGGTATTTTCAAGGAAGCCTACGGGAATTAGGCATCCAGTTGAATGGGAGTTAGGTGGCTAACTTACTTAGGCTCAAATCCCAGCCTCAATTTATGGCTGGAAATAAGGACACCTCACACCCTCTGCTCACTCTTCCCAGTATTTTAGAAGCAAAAGGATTGGTCTATACTACAGAGTTAGGTTAAGGTGACCAGACAGCAAGTGTGAAAAATCGGGATGGGGTTGGGGGGTAATAGGAGCCTATATAAGAAAAAGACCCCAAAATCAGGACTGTCCCTATAAAATCGGGACATCTGGTCACCCTAGGTTGACGTAAGGCAGCTTACATCGACCTAAATATGTCAGTTTACACACTACAGCCTTGGTCCCAGGGCCGGCTCCAGGTTTTTTGCTGCCCCAAGCAAAAAAACAAAACAAAAACCTGGAGTGCTGCCCCTTGAAAAGTGCCACTCCAAGCACGTGCTTGGAACGCTGGTGCCTAGAGCTGGCCCTGCTTGGTCCTGCCCTATTAAACCGACATCATTATTCCACCTCCACTGGAGGCATCGGCTTATGTCGGGGTAGATCAGGGTGATGCAATGTCTGCGTAGACACTGTGTTACTTACATCAGCTGTTGACCGTCATTCTTGTCTACTTTCATCAATGCTGAAGCCGTGAAATTGACAAGAAAGCCATGGCGTGGGTGGGGGGCTCCAGCTAGAGCCCAGCTGCCCCGGGCTCCCCGTTCCCGGACAGGCTGCGTACTCCCCGCTCAGAGCCCGTCTGCTCTCAGGCTCCCTGCTTTCAGCCCAGCTGCGCCCTCCTGGGCTCCTCACTCCTAGCCAGGCTGTGCCCCCCACTCCCAGCCAGGCTGTGCCCAGCCTGCTCCCTGCAGGGAGCCCTGGTGCTGCATGGAGGCTCCCAGCTCCCTGCTACTTGGAGTCTGGCTGCCTTCGGGCTCTTGGCTCCCTGCCGCAGCTGGGCCCCCCTGCTAGGGAGCTGGGAGCCTTGGTGTAGCCGCCAGGCCCCCCGCAGGGAGCAGGAAGCCAAGAGTCTTGGTGCAATTACTGCAGTGGTTGTAAGTCGACCCAACATAGGTCGACTTATCTTTCTAGTGTAGACGTGCCTAAAGTAAAGGTACCAGGATAGTTTGAAGGTGGATCTCATACGGTCATTTCTTTTCTATCATTTCAACATGTTACATGTTGCTCCATGAATAATGTATCCCTTGGCTCCTAACATTGTTTTTCTCATAGATGTTGATGAGTGTGCTCTTAACATGGACCGCTGTAATCGACACCTATCGGACTGTATCAATACTGAAGGTGGCTATGTCTGCAAGTGTCTGGAGGGCTACCGTGGAGATGGGCTTCATTGTTACGGTGAGGGGGAGTGTGAAGGTGATGGGGGGAGTGAGAGGCAGTGACAGAATGAATGAGGAAGTAAGAGACGCATCTAATGATTTGGATCGGCTATGTGTCAAGATGCGAGAGTTGTGTTAAGCGGCCATAATGATCTATTCCACTGATTGGTTGAAAAACGGCATAGGAGCCTGCATACTAATATTAGACTAGTAAGCTCCCCAAGGTGGATGACATTTATCATCTCTACTTTTTTGGCTCTTTTCCTACTGTTTGATGTGTGGCAACATCAGCAGCTGATCAATATGCAAAGCCTGTCAGTGGATTCTTCCCCTGGGTGTTTACACTTTGGTGGCTATGCTGGGGGAAAAATGGGTGAACCAGTAGAGATTTATTGGAAATCATTACCATGCATATAAACTAAAGCAGGTATTCAGTGTGTCATAACACTCCTCAAATAATTCTAGGTTAGTTTAATAGGCATGAGCTTCAGGGTGTTGACATTTACAACCTGGGTACATTTAAAGACGTGTTAATAATCAGATCCACTGATCCTACTGGCCAGAACTTGGGTTGTGACATCATGTCTTCATTTCCTATAACTTTTATTTTTTCAAATCCATCTTTAGCATTAAAGTAGGAATGAAGAACGGGATTATCATCAATATTAGGGTAATAAAAAGCATGCGTAGGGCTTTACATGAGTCTTCATTTCCCTTTTGCATTTTTAAATTATTTTTTTCTGGTCTTTTTTTCTCTACAGCCTGATCAACCCCCCATTAAAACCAGTGGGACTTTTTACATTGACTTCATTAGGCTTTAGCTCAGGCCATTAGGGTAGAACAAGATTGCTAAAAAAAAATCAAGACCAGAGGCAGGCAGAGAGCCTGTGGGAGTGTGGAAAATGCATACATGAGTGGTAACCTTTACCTTATAGTTCAGGTCCCTTTGATATGTACATAATTAGGCAGTTCAGAACTGTTGCACATCTAGGATTGCAGTTATACCTAATAAAATTATTTAGAAAAAGTTAATTCTCTTTCTGAAGAGCATCCAGGTTTTAAAACCACAGTATCTCAGCTACTTTTTTCCAAAACTTCATAAGTAATGAGATCCTGATGTGGATAAATAAAACTGAAGCTGATCTTGAATTCTATAACCTTATGAAGAGATGGAAAGGAATGTCTTCAAATGGATACCATATTCTGGTTTTAAAGCATGCATAACTTGTCATGTAACAATAATCAGAAATCTGCCAGTATGTCAAGGGAGAATACAGAACACACCTGTATTGTTTTTTTGCACTCACGTAATTCAGAATATTTTGTTTTAATTTTGTTTAAAACACCACTCTGAGTTCTCCAGGATACTTTGGGCCACATCCTGTAGTCCTTACTCAGGCAAAACTCCTGAGAATTTTATATGAATCAGGACTGCAGGATTCAATCCTTTATCTCAGTTTTAGTCTGGCAAAATAGGGTTGAGTGAACCTCAAAAGGCTCAGTTTACCTGATCTTTCTGGAGTTTATTTGAAGTTTACATGACGTAACCAAACCTTTAGACCGCAAGACTTTTTTTTTTTTTTTAAATGTGTCCTTGTTTTTAGCACTGCTGGAAGCAGTAGCTGCTGGCTTCTTAACCACCTTCTGATCTAACCTGTGTTGCCTGATCTATGGATTGTGTTCTCATCCCAAGATCTGGTCAAGTATTATTAAAATTACTGTTCATCTGGGACCTCTGACATGCACAGTTGCAACTCTCACACTTAGGAAAAATCTTCTGTATTTGTAATAGTTGTATTAACACAGTTAGTAAAGTTACAAACACACCAACCCAGCTAAGTAGATAGCGATAACGCAGAATGACCATCTGTGCATCCATATACTCTCACCATCCCTTGCATAACAACCTGAAATGTTAGTCATTGTCTTCTTCCTCCTCCTCTTCCTCCTTGCCATCATCACCAGTGGTCGTCATTCTGACTTCTCCCAAGAGTTACATATTTCAAGGCACACAGGCCGGAATTCAACTTTTATAATGTGTTATGCTGATACCACTATGTCTAATGCATATTCAGTAGGGGTTTCATCCCCTTTTCCTTATTTGTATCTCCTCTCCCTACTAATGTTGACGTGTCCTCCCATAGGTTATTAGTTCGTTAACCTCAACCCTATTAACATATACATGAATTAGTTATTATGGTATTCTTGTGGTTGGACATCTGCTGATGTTTCTCATTTTAAAATATCCCAGGCTGGTATAAACAAGCATCTTGTGGTTGCCTGTCAGCAGTTTAATCATTACAGCATTTTATCTTGATATCTTATGTTCTAGGCTTACTCTTGGTTAGCTGCTTATGCTCAGGTTTTTGAGCCTTGTAACTTGTTTAACTTAGGAACTGTCCTACAGGCCTGAGGCTTGCAGACTCATTGCATTACTGCCTTAACTTAACTAACCTATAGGCTACACCTGTTCACAGAAGGTGAACTCCAACTTCTACTACCCCCCTGATGGACCTGTGCTGGTGCTAGCAGTGATGGGAAATATTAAGAGAAAATGTCTTGTGTAGGCCAGGCCTTAGGCCTTCTCATGCATGTCTTGTGCTCTCTCTGTCCTATAATTTTATGGGTGAAGCTTCTGCCTTCTCTTTCCAGTGGAGGATCTACTGTCCTTCTCTCAACACTGCTGTCCTCTGAGGTGCAAGGATGGATAAGCCTACCTGTCCTCCTTTCACAGAGAGCACACTTTATTGCTCTTTCATCCCACTTGCTGCCAAGAATATTCTGTGGAGGGAAGCTCTGCAGCATTCGTCCCCGTGCCAGTAGTGCTGAGCCATTGCAGCCTGTATAGAATGACACTCAGAGGCATTCATTCTTCTAACTGCAGACTGTTTGGGTGACAGATATCGATGAATGCAAGCTGGGGACACACGCATGTGGAGAAAACACAGTCTGCACCAATACTGAAGGAAACTACACTTGCACTTGCATTAATGGTCTATCCAGAACTGGGGACAACTGTACTGGTGAGTAAAGTTAGTAAATAAGCCAAATAACCTGGTCTCTAAGTAAAGAAGATTGAGTGCTCAGATAGATGAATCATCCTGGGAAATTCAGAAAGTGCTGAATATGTCAGGCAGCCTGTGAATCCAATTAAATTGGTTCTGGATGCAGCTGTTTTGCAAATCGCATCTCCCCAAGAAGAGGTGGGCTGAGGAGACCAGATTTTGGTTTTACAAAGCTGGGAATGGTGAGCATTTGATTCCATTTGTTGGAAGCATCAACATTCAGGACCAGCTCTAAGTTCTAAATGTCATAGTGTACAGCTAATAACCACTGTCTTCCATAAGAGCAGATATAGTTCTCTGTTGGGGTAATACCATGTCCCTCTTATGAGATAACCAAAGACTCACTATGCCAAGTCATTTTTCAGGCTCTACAGGGGGTCAGCCTCTCTGCAGAGGGCCAGCACAAAGTGTTGTGGCTCAGGGGATACAGCACTAGCTGGGTCTCGAGGGGACTGGGTTCTAGTCCAGGCTCTGCCACTAGCCTGCTGTGTGACCTTAGGCAAGTCACTTCACCTCCCTGTGCCTCATCGTAAAATGGGGATAATAATACTGACCTTCTTTGTAAAGTGCTTTGAGATCTATTGGGGGAGAGTGTTGTATAAGAGCTAGGTATTATTATTGTTTAAGTCCTACTTAAGTCCTCAGCTAGAGTATAAAGAACAGATTTTCAAGAGTGCTCAGCTCAGTCACCAATATAAGTGGCCAGATTTTCAGCAGAGATGGGTGTGTTGGCTGCTAAACTCTTTTGAAAATCTGGCCATCAGTGTCACAACAGGAGCTGAGTTTCATTGATGTGCCTAAATGGGATCTGATCTCCTTTGAAAATGTGGCTTTAAGTGTGCTGGTCCTCTACCTAGGGGTGAATTTTCCTCTTGCTGGTATACAGTCCAGTGACAGAAAACATTCTGCAAAATTCTCCGAGACCCGTCTGTGCAGAAAAATGAAGGAAATTATGACATTGAAAGTGACCAGCAAATTCTCAACCCCTCTTTGCAAGGATTTGATTTTTCAGCAGTTTTAGCTGTAATTGAGAAATGGTGACATTAAATAATATATGATTTTATGCCTGATTCAGCTATGGAAATAGATACTGTTTTAAAAATCCAAAGCTTAAGTTTGCTCTGGTTGTTTGTGTAGTGGTAATAGAAAAGCATCATAAACTGTAGAAACAAAGAAAGGACTGGTATGTATTGTAGCTCCACCTTAACAATGTGCAGATGGGCGAATCACAGTCTGTTTAATGGGGTTAAAGAATCTTACTTACAGGGCCGGCTCCAGGCACCAACTTAACAAGCAGGTGCTTGGGGCGGCCAAGGGAGAGGGGCGGCACCTGCGACAATTCAGGGGCGGCAGGTCCCTCACTCCCTCTAGGAGCGAAGGACCTGCCGCTGAACTGCCGCCGCCGATCGCGGCTTTTTTTTTTTTTTTTTTTTTTTTGCTTGGGGCGGCAGAAATGCTGGAGCCGGCCCTGCTTGCTTATTATCTTGCCTGGAAATGCTGAAGCTCTGTACCAAGCGATTTTGCCAGTTTAGCCAACAACTAAGACATGCATGCGTGTGAAATACTGTATTTCAGAATCTGCTATGCCTTCTAACATGAGCACCAGTGGTGACAACATTTCCTCTGAACAAGATGGTTTTATGGGCTGCCCTCCTTCATATGAGTCCTACTGTCTTCATGGCGGAGTTTGTATTTATGTTTCAGTTCTACAAGACTATGTGTGCACGTAAGTATAGACCTTTGTCTCATCTGTGCCGATGTATGCCATCCTAGAGATACTGTGATGGGCATTTCCTCTCAAGACAAACAATGAAGTATTTTGCCATATATGTTCTGTGTGTTTCCTACAACTGTCAGCAGAGCCTGCCCTTTATATTCAGTTGATATATGATGTTCACCGTGTTCCCAAACACTGCACTTAACAGTAGCATTTGATTTCTTCCTTGAGTGCTTGATTCTTTTGCGTATATTTGCTTCAGAGTCTAGAGGTATGTCTACACTGCACACTCCTGTTGGTGGCATGTGGAGTACATACACTACCTGCCCCCTATAGCATAGATATACATGGCAGTGAAGACAATGAGTTGAGTAAAATAAGGAAATACCTGACCCCTGTGGGTATGAACCCTACTCACCCAAGCGGTGCCTCCCCCAGCTACACTGCTGTTTTCAGCAGTGTAGTGTCCTGTGGCCTCTTTGCTGCTGGAATCTTTCCCAGCCACAAGGAGAGACAAATTCACAGAGAGAGGCTCCATCAGTTCCCCACTGCCAAGCCTTTTCCTGCTGCCCTCCCCCCACAGCCTTTTACTGACACATGTAGCTACACGCAGGGCCGGCTCCAGGCACCAGCCGACCAAGCACGTGCTTGGGGTGGCACCTGGTAAGGGGCGGCCAATCTTGGGGTGGCGGGGGGCGCTC